CACTCACCCGTGCAATGTTGCCCTCCTTCTCGGTAAAGTCCAAGTAGCGGTGCCAGTTGTTCAGCTGCGCCTCATCCAGAGGCTTCACATGGAAGTACGGGCGCTTGATCACCACCTCGTACTCCCTTATCTCCCCATCGCGCCGCTTGCTGCTCTGATACATCACGTCCCTCAGCGCCAGGTACTCTGCTAGCTGCTGCTCCTCCGTCTTGGCCACTGGGACAGGCGCGGGCGCGGAGGCAGGAGGCGGGGCGGGCGTGGGGACTGCGGCAGGAGCGGCAGCGGGAGTGGCAGCGGGGGTGGCAGCGTCGCCGGGAGCAGCAGCATCGGCCATGGTGGCCTCGGCTCCTGGAGCAGCATCAGCGCCCGTACCAGCAGCAGCATCGGCGCCGGCAGCAGCAGGGTCGCCTTCTGCCGCCTTAGCCTCGCCGTCTCCCTCGGCCTCCTCCGCGCCTGGCGCAGCAGTGCCGTCCTCCCCTGCTGGCTGTGAGGGGACAGCCGTCTGCACCTTGAGGGCTGCGGCCGCAGCAGCAGCTACTTCTGCTGCTGCTGCTGCGGACTCCTCGGGCGTGCGGATCTCGTCCAGCGTGTGGGTCGCTGCAAAGTGGCGGAAGCTGAGGGGTCAGGGGGGGGCATGGGTGCGAGGGGCGAAGAAGGGGGAAGAGGGAATCGGATGGGTGTGTGCGGACTCCTCAGGCGTGCGGATCTCGTCCAGCGTGTGGGTCGTCGCAAAGTGGCGGAAACTGAGGGGCCGGGGGGGACCAGGGAGGCCAGGCGGGAGACAGGGGTGCGAGAGGCGGGGAGGGGGGGAGACGGAACCAGGTGGGTGCGTGCGGACTCCTTGGGCGTGCGAAACTCGTCCAGTGTCTGTGCCGTCGCGAAGTGGCGGAAACTGCGAAGTGAGACGAGGGAGGCGGAGGGGGCGAGGAGGGCGAAGGATGCGGCAGGTGAGGTTGCATGTGTACGTGCAAGCACCCCTCTACATCTCTCGCTCTCTCTCCTCTGCCCCATGCATTCACGCGTGGTAGTAATGGCAACGACCCACGAGCCCACAACGCCACTACGCCACCCCCCCACCATGCCACCCAGTGCACGTCAGCAGGCCCCAGGCCCCCAAGCCTCACCTCACTGCACTCACGCGTGGTAGTAGTGGTCGAGCTGCTGCAGCGGCACCTGCAGCATGCGCGTGTGGATGGCACGGCAGCGATCCACGATCCAACCACACCACCATGCCACCCCACCACCATGCCACCCAGTGCAAGCATACCCTCGCTCCACACCCTTCCTCAGGCCCCCAAGCAACCCCTCACTGCACTCACGCGTGGTAGTAGTGGTCGAGCTGCTGCAGCGGCACCTGCAGCATGCGCGTGTAGATGGCGGCGACCTTGCTCCACTCGGAGCGCGCGCCCTCATAGTCCAGGTACTTCTGCCACACCGTGTGCGACAGATAGTCCGTCCCCACGTAGACCAGCGCGCGCTCAAACAGCCTGCGCGCACACACCACACGCACACCTCCCGCGCACGTCCCCCACACCCCACCCCACAGCCCCGCACACCAGCAGGCACAGCAGACAAGCGCATGGAAACAGGAGGACTGTTAGGCGAGGGAACGAGACAGATCATCTGGCGTTTAGAGGGAAAGGGAGGGAGGGCAGAAATTATTTGTGTGTTTTTGAGGGACACAAGGGGAGAGAAAAAAGTTGAGAGCTGTGTAGAAAATCGGACCCCGAGGCGAACCTTGGCACTCACAGCCCGAACCGAGCAACGAGGCTGCTTGTAAAGAGGACGCAAAGCGGATTAACCAGACTGAATCGGGCCCACGTCATTGCGTCTGCCTGCAGAACGATGGTCCACCGAGGGTTTCTTTTACCTCTTTCCTGCGCCAGCGCGGCCAATCGGGTTCCTTTATCGTTTGCCTGCCCGGCTGCCCGTAAAGACCGCTAGGTGATTAGGCGGTGGCCGATCTTTGACGCGAATTCGTTACAACGCTCGCGAAGTAGGAGTGAGAGGTTACCAAACAGCGTTGCATCGATTAGCATTAACAAGTCAAGCCAATCGAGGAAGAAAAACTCTACGCGATTGACAAACGGAAGCTATGAAGCATAAGTGGCGCAGGAATAAACAGGACAAAAAACGACTAGTGAGGCAGCGGGAACCGAGAGGGGAATAGAGGGGGACAAGCGGGAAACAGGGGAAAGGGAAGGAGTTTCTCCCACGCTCGCACGGATCTGCATTAAACACCGGAGGAGGTTAGCGGCAGCAGAAGCAGCTGCGGCGACCAACGAACGAACCACTAAAGACGGGAAAAGGCTAACGGTATAGGGATTCGATAAAAAGGTGCAAAAATTGTCATACTCACACCCTGACGGTCTCGGCTGCGAGCTTGGTGATGGGGTCACAGACACCAAGGGGGTGAGGAGGGGGTGTAAAGTTAAGGGCTGGTAGAATACAGACTCCGAGTGTGCTTAGAAAAAGCCCGAATGCGTTCCGCTGTGCTGAAGGAGTACAAGCGCGGAATGACGGAAGCGGTGCGTACTAGCCTTCGACGGAAAGAACACCGAACATGACGTTCAGAAAAGCTGCCACGGCGAAAAAAAAAAAACCTAGAGTGCGGTCGAGAGGGATTCGGAGGTGCACCTGCGGATCTCCTCGGGGTCTTCGACGGTGGCGGTGAGGTGGTTGACGTAGTGCAGCCAGATGTCGACGCTGTACGGCACGGCGGCCACGGCGCGCTCGAACACCTCCAGCACGCGCTCCTTGTTGGCGTGGCGCTGCTCGTGGTCCGCGTACTTCTTCCAGTACCCGAAGCACAGCGGAAACTCCGCCAGAAACGTGTCGTACACTGCTCGCAGGCCCTCGAGCTTGTCCTGCGAGAAACGAAGAGGAGAAATGTTGGAGCGTGAGATTAATAGAGCATTTGTTCAAGCAAGAAACGACGGAGTTCAGTTATTTATGCTTTATTAGATCCGCCAAACATACAACGTCAGTTTGAACGGATAAATGTCAGGAAAAACATATTTAGAATGGAAGGTGGGATGGGCGGAGCGGAATCGAAGAACAAGGCTCAGGGACAGAGTTGGTGGCATGGAGGACGTACCGACTTCTCGCTTTCCTGAATGAGCGCGACCCAGGACTCGAAGTCCCCCGAGTTGGCGCGCACCAGACCCCATAGCCGCTCCTCCTCCGTCGGCGCTGGCGGCGCTGCAGGAACTGCGATGCGGGACAGACAGATACAACACGATGGACAGGAACAGATTGCGGATTAGTCCAGACAAAAGCAAGCAGTCATGTGTTGAAATAACGAGACATGCATTTCAGAGATTTGAAAAGAAGAATAAGGCATTTGTAGCAATTAGGCGATAAGAAGTGGATGCATTTGAGGGAGCTACGGCCGGCAGGACAAAAGTCGAAGTACCTTCAGGGGCTGCAGGAGCAGCAGCAGCCTCAGCGGCCGCGGTCGCGGCACCATCAGCAGCAGGCGCAGCAGCGTCGGCAGCAGGGGTAGCAGCATCGGCAGCAGGGGTAGCAGCATCGGCAGCAGGGGTAACTCCAGCGTCGGCAGCAGGAGCGTCAGATGCAGCATCAACAGCAGGAGCAGCTTCACCCTCAGCAGCAGGCGTGGCTGCAGTGGCATCGTCACCAGCGCCAGCCTGAGCAGCCGCGGCAGCAGCCGCCTCCTCCGCTGCCGCTTCCTCCTCCGCTGCTGCTTCCGCCACGGCCGCTGCAGCAGCTGCTGCAGCGGCTGCAGCTGCGGCCGCTTCAGCAGATCCGTTCTCTTCAGCCCCGTCTTGGGCCATAGGATCGTCATTCGCAGCTGCTCCGGTGTCCGCGGCTGCAGCGTCCTCTGCTCCTTCGTCGTGCACGTCCATCTTCACTGGCTGGTCTTCTTCCGTCGCCATGTCGCTAACCTTGCCCGAAAAAAAGTCCTGAATAAAACCGAAGCCTTAACAATAATCGGCAAGTGATAAGAATCGTGGAGGTGGTAGTACCAGGTAGTGCCAGCGCCTATGGACCTGCTAGGAACAAGAAGATCGAGCAGCAGAACTAAAACCTTGGAAGTGGCAGACTGGTTTGTGTGTGGGGTTCGCTTTGCTTGAAAGACCATCAAATGTGATCCAGTTTCTGTATGTATGGTACAGCGCATCTGCTACTGAGGTGCAAAACAGTGTCATAAAATTGCAAAAAACAAGTTTGCTGGAGATGTGGAGCTTGAGAAGCTGGCAAGTTGTGGAGCTGAATATTATCGTCATAACTTGAAATTTACTAAAAATTCTCATGCGACCAAAAAATGGCTTGATTATATTAACGATCATATTGTGATATAATATCAGATGCATGGATGTATGCTGAACACAGGGATGGAACCATTTAATCATTCAAATTTTTGTATTTATATTTTGGGAATTGAAAACGTACATTTCACAGGACCCAAAGGTAGAAAATGTGTGGTACAGTTTATGTATCCTGTGTATAGGATAGGGGCGTAAGCTAACACAATATCCTGTGTATATCTGCTCAATCGCATCATATAGGCAAATGGGCCCGCCTTCTCCGTCACACTCCCTTCGAACCTCCCAGCTGTCCAACAAGGAAGTGAGTCAGCACGGGATGACTCTGTGGCACATGCTTCCAGCTCAGCTATTGGCTTATGCCTGGGGCAACGAACCAGTGATTCCTCAATTACAGGAAGATCCTGAGTTTCCCGCATAGGAGAAGGAAGACCCGTTTCTAGAAAGCATCCACCAGCTGTGAGATTCGTGCCTTGTCGGGTTGGTTGGTAAATCTACCTTTCTGGTGCAAAACAGACCAGCCAGGCTCTAATCACAATTTTGGCAACAGGATTCTCGAGTTGGTTGGGACGGGAGTCATAAATACCTTCAGCAGCTCTTCTTAAGTCCCAGATGAGCTACTTGGTGAGGACGGTTATCAGAAGAGTTGCTACCTCCCCAGGACCTCAACATCAACAAGCACGGATCTTGTTTTCACGCGCATACTCCGGCATGGCGTTCCGTGAAGAGAAGGATACGTTTGGACCGATTCAGGTCCCTGCCGACAAGTGAGCAAATCTGGATCGAATTCGTCATTTGAACGGATTCGTGTTGGAAGTAGTAGCACCACTGACATCGTAAATGGCGTACATTGCAGATACTGGGGAGCGCAGACTCAGCGATCCCTTCAGAACTTTGAGATCGGAGGAGAGAGGGAGAGGATGCCAGATCAGATTGTGAAAGCATTCGGAATTCTCAAGAAAGCCTGCGCACAGGTACGGACGTCGTCCTTCTCTCGTCTAGCTTGGATCTTGGCCTTGTGGTAGTGAAGGATGTGTGAACGGCGAACCTCATGGAGTTTGCTTCCGTGCATGCAGGTCAATCTCGGCTATGGTTTGGATCCGAAGATTGGAAATGCAGTCATTCAAGCTTCGCAGGAGGTCGCAGACGGGAAGCTTATGGACCAGTTCCCCCTTGTCATCTGGCAGACTGGTAGCGGAACTCAGTCTAACATGAACGCCAATGAGGTACTGTTGCTTAATATTCAGTCCCCTTGATTTTCGGTATAGTTCGGGGCGTCCTGAGGTTTCGAATCATGCTTGTCTTCAGGTCATTGCCAACCGTGCTGCTGAGATTTTGGGATCCAAGCTCGGCGACAAGGGCATTGTTCATCCCAATGACCACGTGAACATGAGCCAGTCCTCCAATGACACCTTCCCCACCGTAAGATCACAGTACATTTTGTCACTTGTAGTAAATCTATCTACTTGACGCGCGTCGAAACATTAGAGTACACATTCTCACTCGCGCGTCGATCCGGATGCAGGTGATGCACATCGCTGCTGTTGTGGAGGCGCACTCGAATCTGATTCCGCACCTTCGGTCCCTCTACGAGTCCGTTGCTGAGAAGGTAAGACTGGTGATTCCTTCACCGTTGGCAATGTTCTTTTGATTGGAATACCCTGCACCACTGAGGGTGGATTGCGTTGCTGTGGTGCAGGCTGAGGAATTCAAGGACATCGTCAAGATTGGCCGCACTCACACTCAGGACGCAACGCCTCTGACCCTTGGTCAAGAGTTCAGTGGCTACGCCACACAGGTACGGGATGTTTGTTATCTTCCTAGATGCAGTATACAGCATGTTACAGCATGAGGTAACCACATAGTTTGTATCGGCTTTATGCAGATTAAGTATGGCATTCGGCGTATCGAGGACACTCTCCCGCGCCTGTACCAGGTAGATTTCTGCTTGTGGCATTCATCTGATTGAGTTCTCTTACCGAGAAGTGTGTGTAATTAGCCACGTTGCGTTCCCACTTGCAGCTCGCACAAGGAGGAACGGCTGTCGGCACTGGTCTCAACACAAAGTTGGGGTGAGCCATCTTAGAAATTGCCACGTGCCCGTCTGCCCGTGCATTTTTCTACTGTGGTTGTCGTTACTCTTGCGAAGTCCTCAACGCGTCATTGTTGCCAACCTTGCAGGTTTGACGTGAAGGTTGCAGCGGCTGTCGCTGAGGACACGAAGCTGCCTTTCGTCACTGCTGAGAACAAGTTTGAAGCACTGGTATGTATCATTTTGCTCTTTTACCCTATAAGAACAAACTTTGCACTGGGACATGTGCGTGCAGCAGTACGCTTGTAGTAATTATTGTGAACATTCTTCTTACAGGCCGCTCATGATGCGCTCGTGGAGGCAAGTGGGGCGCTTAACACAGTGGCCGTGTCACTCATGAAGATTGCTAACGACATTCGCTTCCTTGGCAGGTCAGTTGCGGAAACCTGTGGTCCAGGCTAGGTTTCCACACTAGAAAAAAAACTTCACAACAGAATGCAGAAAAACGCTGACGTTAACAGCAAGAAGCTGATTGTATGCAGAAGTGAAACCACGCAGCAGCTTGATTTTCGTCTTCACTGCTGGCATGACTGATGTACTGGATATGTGTACTCCTCTACCCTTCTTTTCTTCACGTGTGTAGTGGCCCCCGGTGTGGTTTGGGCGAGCTTTTCCTGCCTGAGAATGAACCAGGCAGCAGCATCATGCCTGGCAAGGTCAACCCAACACAGTGTGAGGCGCTCACAATGGTCTGCGCTCAGGTGGGTGACCGTGTCCTCGAGCTGTCATGGTGTGCTTAGAGTTCATGGTGTGCTCACTGGAGATAATGCATGCTTCATGGCAGGTGATGGGTAATCATGTTGCTGTTTCGATTGGAGGTTCGAATGGCCACTTTGAGCTCAACGTCTTCAAGCCCCTTATGGCTGCAAATCTGCTTCAGGTCAGTATTGTTCACTGGTGTTGACAAGTTGCAATTTTGTATAGTCCAAAACCAATGTTCTGTTCAATGGGGTTGTGTTTGTTTGTATCCAGTCTATGCGTCTCCTGGGCGACGCTGCCCTCTCCTTCAAGAAGAACTGTGTTGTTGGCATTGTGGCAAACCGCGCTCGTATCTCTGACATAATGAAGCAGGTGTGTTACTATCTGACAGTCTTGCACCTCGTTTTCTCTCTTGCATTTTTCTAGAGTGCTAACTTGTCCATGTTTGTGTTGTGCTGCTCTGCCTTCGTCGCTCAGTCGCTCATGCTTGTTACTGCACTGAACCCGGTAAGTTACTGCATCCGCTGTCCCATTGGAATTTAGTGCCTGTGCGGTTCTCATGTCTTACTAACAAAGTGAGTTGCGTGTCTGCAGCACATTGGATATGACAAGGCAGCTGCTGTTGCCAAGAAGGCTCACAAGGAAGGAATTACTTTGAAGGTAATAAACAGTTTAATTAGCAACAGGATCAACATTGCAGGCCGTGACCAATACTGACATTCTTTTGATCGGTTTGCAGGAAGCTGCAATTGCATTGGGAGTTATTACTTCTGAGAAGTTTGATGAAGTGGTTGTCCCCGAGAAGATGCTTGGTCCATCGTAGGTTCTGAGGGTAGTACAACAGCTATTTTCGTAGAAAACATGTGCTCAAAAATGGCCCAAAAATGTGTTTTTAGATTGCAGTGGGCCTTGAGAACAGCGGTCCATTATTTCATAGATCAATCGTTGCGCATATACTACCAGGCCTTTATCAATTGCACTGATATGCATACTTGTTTTCAATGGCATTGCTACTTCCAAAAATGGTTACAACATCAACAATTCCTCACACTCAACCTGAGTCTAGCTTCCATATTATGAGGTGATAATAAGAAGGCCAGAAAGAACAACTTCAGTATCCTGGTTATATTAGCAAGAGTAATGCTCTCCTATCCAGCCTGGATTTCACAGGTCTCAATACCCATATTGTGAAAGACAGTGTTAGAATTGGCAACAACTCTTAACTATAAGAGTGCGAAAGGTACGGTACCGTTATGCATATGCATTGCACATAGCTTTACTATGATAAAGCTTTGACCAAAACCAGACTCTCTGGGATCGAAGTATACAACCCCAAGTATACCCACATGCCATGAACCCTCTCCCAGCCTCTATCCTCGTGTTCCCTCCCCACACAGTCTTCCTTGCATTCCACCAGCTCCACTTGCCTCCTGCTGGTGCCAGCCTGCAGAAGACATGATGCCATGCCACACCATGCCATGCCAAACCACGGCACACCCCAAACAATGGCATGCCATGCCACACAATGGCATCCCACACCATGTCATACCACAACATGACATCCCACACCATGTCATACCACAACATGACATCTCACACTATGTCATGTCATGTCACACCATGGCATGCCACACCATGGCATGCCACACAATGACCCTCCACACGATCACACAGCGCACTATTGAGATAACGCACCATGGCATGGCAGACCATGACAACCGACACACACACATACCACCACATGGTGACATGCCATACCATGACAGATAACACACATACATACCACAGTATGACATGCCACACCATGGTCCACCCACACAATGCCATACCAGGCTACAAACTAAACCCTACAGAGGCACGCGATATTATATGATACCACAACAAGGTATCATCACACAAGAAGGAAGCATACCACAAGAAGATAACATACCCAAATGCCACAAGTCCCCATCATGCTGCAACATTGCACACTATCGCATGCAACACTGTAACATACCATACAAAACACACCACACTGCAGCATGCAAGAGATACCATGCTGTGCAACATGCCACACTGTGCAATACACACAGTAACATACCACACTGAAACGTACCACAATGTAACATACCACACTGAAACATACCACACTGTAGCATACCACACTGTGACATGCACATTTTAACATGCACACAATAACGATTCACACTTCAACACACCTCACAGTCACATGCCACGTAATAACATGCACACTGTAACATGGTAACATGCACACAGTACCATGCACACTATCACATACCACATTGTATTATGTGCAGAGTAACACACCACACATAAACATGCACACTGTAACATAACACACTGTAGCTTGCACACAGTAACATGCCACACAGAAACATGCACACTATCACATACCACACTGTAACATGCACACAGTAACATCTCACCATCACCACTCCCAACAGCATAGAATGACATACCAACCAAGTCCGCATCGTACTGCAACATTGCACCCTATCGCATGCAACCCTGTAAACATACCCCATACGTGACACACCACTCTGTAGCATGCCAAAGATACCGCTGTAACATGGCACACTGTAAAATGCCCCACAGTACATACCCCAATACAGCATGCACACTGTAAAATACACACTATAACATGCTGAAACAAGCACACTGTAACATGCACAAAGTAGCAAGCACACTAAATCATGCCACACAGTAACATGCACACAATAACATACCACACAGAAACATACACACAATAACATGCACACAGTACCATGCACACAGTAACATGCACACTATAACATACCACACAGAAATATGCACACAATAACATGCACACAGTAACATACCACACTGTAAAATACCACACTATAACATGTACACTATAACATGCACACTATAGCATGTACACTATAACATGCACACTATAGCATGTACACTATAACATGCACACAGTAACATGCACACCTTAACACACCACACAGTCAGATATCACATTGTAGTATACACACAATAACAAACCACACGCTACCACACCACACAGTAACATACCACACAGTAACATGCACACAGTACCATGCACACAGTACCATGCACACAGTAACATGCACACAGTAACATGCACACAGTACCATGCACACAGTAACATGCACACAGTAACATGCACACAGTAACATCTCACCATCACCACCACTCCCAACCTTCACTGCCCAACCCCACTTCACACCACCACCCACCACAACTTACCAGCCCATCCCCAAGCAGTAGGAGCAGCAGACAGCCCACTCCTAGGGGGTGTGTCTTGTGAGGAGAAGTGAGGTAGTGGAAATTGCTTCCAGCCCAAGACTCAAATCCCACCCCTGACGTAGCCAGAGCTGACGCGAACCAGAACCGCCGGCCGGTCGGCTCTGTCGGTGTCCATTAGGCCTTGCACGTCAGATCGGTTACTTGAGCACCGAGTGCCGTGCCGCGCAGATTCCACCCACCACACCCCACCACCACAAGCCACAACCGCAGAGGGTGCTGCCCCTAAGGCAATGAACTCCTTGCTTGCTCCCACCGCTCCCCACCCACCCACCCCACACTTCACCCCCATGCCTCCTTACCTGTACCTACCACAGCCGTGCAGAGCGCCATGATGCTGAGGCTGCTGGGAAGTGGAGAGAGAAGGGGGGATTAGCGGAGGGAGAGACTCCTCTGTGGTCCAGGCAGGGTGCTGGTGGGAGGGGAGGGAAAAGGGAGAGAGGAGGTGAGTGAGATGGTGGACTCCACTCCACTCTCCTGCCCTTGTTTCAGTCTGCACGGGAAAGAAGGGGGGAAGAAAGCAAGGGGAGGAAACGAAATCACCATACCTCACCTGTTACCATACCACCTGTTACCATACCACCTGTTACCACACCTCACCCACAACTACTCCTAGCCTAGCCTGCCCTCTATCCCCCCAGCCCCCACTGCTGCTACTGTTGCTGCTCCCACTGCCTCTGCTGCTGCAACTGCTGCTGCTGGTCTGCTACTCTGCTTCCTCTGCTGCAATCTTCTCTTGATGCCAAGTGACCTGGTAGCGGGCACGAAAGGGCAGGAGGAACGGGTGAGTTGGCATAAAGAGAAAGGCTCAAGTGAACAGAAGAACACTCGAGTGAACAAAAACGAGAATGCAGAATGGAGAAGAGGGAGCAGCTGCAGCAAGTGAACTCCAGAGGGGGAGAGGTGAGGCCAAGGCAAGAGATAACGTACCTTGAAGGGCCAAGCCCACCCCATACTCTCCCTAGGAGCACCAACTTTAGTTCGTGGCCGTGCTGCCTCCTTGCCATCCCCGTGGGTACCAGGGGAGGGGCGTGGGGGAGTGGCGGTGTTGACCCCACGTCCCTCCCTTCCACCTGCCATGGCAAAGGGAAAAGTAATGAGTGACTGGTGGAGAGGCGAGGGGGTAAAGGAGGGGAGTGGATGCATGATCAGTAAAAGCAGAGGGGAGGGAGGGGACCACTGGTGTTGCCTCAGCTACAAGCCACAGACCCAAGGGGGGTCTATACCTAGGGAGGATTAACCTGAGAGAGTACCTTCTGTACCTGGGGTGGTTTACCTAAACAAAAGGGGGTCTGTGGCTTAAAGCTGTGGCACGACCAGGGGCTCACATTTGAAGGGAGACGAAACAAAGGATGCAGCAAGGACCAAAGAGGAAAGGAAACGAACAAATGAGAACGGCAGCAGGAAGAACTGGAGAAATAAGGCGGAGAGGGGAAGCAGCTCACCTTGTGCAGCAGTAAGCACCCGCACGCTCTCCCTCTGGCAGGAGTGCCACCCCTTGGCCTGCTTGCATGAGCTTGGCTGTTGATGCTGCAGGGAGAGACGGGGAGGCATGGAGGAGAAGGGAAACAAGTGAGGGGAGAGGGGTGAACAACGGTTGTAAACAGAAACTGCAGTGAACAATAAAGTGAGGGAAGTGTGAGTCCATGGGAGTGAGGAAGAGCAGAGGAGGGAAGTACCTGTGATGGCCAAACCCCTCCCGATACTCTCCCTGATGGTAGTCCCACAACCCAGCACTTCTCGCTGCGTCCCTCCCGGCCCCACCGGCACCTGCAAGGCCACCAGGGGAGGAGCGCGAGGGAATGGCGGCGTTGACCCCCACGCCCCTCCCCTTAACCGGAAAGGAGAGAACTGAAGAAAAGTGAGTACGAGGCTAGGGGTAGAAATGAGGGAGAGTGAGTGGATGGGGTGGGATGCCAGGTGACAGCAGAAAAAGGAGACCACTGGTGCAGCCTCAGCTACAAGCCACAGACCCAAAGGGGAGTATATATCTAGGTAGGCTTAACCTGAGAGGATACCTGCTGTACCTGGGGTGGTTTACCTAAAAAAAGGGGGTCTGTGGCTTAAAGCTGTGGCACGACCAGAGGCTCAAGTTTGAAGGGAGACGAAATCGGAAATGCAGCAAACAGCTAAGTGAAGCTGGAGAAAAAACTGGAGTGGTAATGCGGAGAGAGAATGAGAGGGGAAGCAGCTCACCTTGTGCAGCAGTAGGCAGCCTGCATGCTCTCCCTCTGGCTGGCTGGAGTGCCACCCCTTGGCCTGCCCGCATGCGCCTCTGCTGCAGGAGTGGACTGGCTGCTGATGCTGCAGGGAGAGACGGGGGAGGCATGGAGGAGAAGTGAAACAAGTGAGTGGAGAGAGGTGGAACAGAAACGGTTCTAAACAGAAACCGCACGGAATAATTAACTGAGGGAAGTTTGAGCTGACGGAGTGTGGAAGAGCAGAGGAGGAAGGGAAGTACCTGTGAAGGCCAAACCCCTTCCGATACTCTCCCTGATGGTAGCCCCAAATCCCAGCACTTCTTGCTGCCTCCCTCTCGGCCCCACCGTCACCTGCAAGGCCACCAGGGGTGGAGCGCGAGGGAATGGCGGTGTTGACCCCCACGCCCCTCCCCTCAACCGACAAGGAGGAAAGTGAAGCTCAGTGAGTAAGTGGCTAGGAATAGAATTGAGGGGTGGGTATGGGTGGGGCGGGGTGGCAGGTGACAGCAGCAAAGAGACCACTGGAGCAGCGCTAGGCACATGGTGCAGACCCAAAGGTAGTGTGGGCTATAATAAAGGTCTAGGATTGGAATAGGCTTAACCTGGGGGCTGAAAGGGGGGGGATACCTGGAATAGGGGGTCTGCACCATGTGGGCTAGGCTGCTGCAAGTGGCTTGGTTTGAAGAGAAGACGGAAGTCGATGTGCGGATGCATGTGGGAGTGCATGAGTCAGAGAGCGAAAGCATTGAAAAGGAGAGGGCGAGTAGATTACTCACCTGATGCGGCTGTGAGTGGCGGTGGCGCCTTGAGGCTTGAGGCTGCTGTGGTGCCGCCACTGACGCGCCTCACACCACCCGAAGTGCTGCTGGGAGTGCTGGAAACTCGCCACCAGAGGGGCTGCTGGGGGATGGGCGGAGGGGTGAGAAGGGGGGAGGGGAGGGGGGGTCGGGAGGGAGAAGAGGGGAGGAAGTTAAGTGGAGGCGAGAGGGGCAGGCAGATGGAAAGTGAGATACGTGCAGGCGAGGCAGACAGGCGAGGAAGAGGGGAGGGGCCACTGGTGGATGCACAGCCACAAGGCACAGACTTGGGGGAGCCTGAGGGGGCTGTAAGGCTGTAGGGGGTCTTAACCTGAGGGGATTACCTGGACTAGGGGAGGGGTCTGTTGCTTGTGAACCGGGCCGCCACCAGTGGCACTCAAGTATAGAGTGAGCGAAGGAAATGCCATGAGAGTCAAACACAGCAAGAGAGAAGCAAGCACTGGCGAAGGGCGGGTGCAGGAAGGAGATGGTACTTAGCTTTCAATGAGGTGCAGAGCGGTGAGAGTGGGTGCTCGCCATCCCGTCCCCATGCCATCCCCTGAGAGTGGGGCAGACGGGAGAGGCAAGGAGGAGCAGACAAGCGAGTGAGTGGAGCGAGGTGGGCTCAGGGTACGAGCGAGGAGACATGATGAAAACAGAGACGTGAAAGTGAAGAGAAGCGGGAACTGGAGGGAGCGAGGAAGTGAAGAGGAGGGGCGTACCTGTGAAGGCCGAATCCCCCCCCGATGCTCTCCCTGATGGTAGCCCTCAGCTCTTCGCTGCCCCCCTCCCAGCCCCCACGGACACTTGCAAGGCCACCACGAGGGGCGCGAGGGAATGGTGGTGCTGAACCCACGCCCCTCCCCTCCACCGGCAAGGAGGAAACTGAAGTTGAGTGAGTAAGCGGCTAGTGGTAGAAGGGGGTGAGGCGAGCACGGGAGGGGTGTGGTGGCAGATGAGAGCAGCAGGGGACCACCAGAGCAGCGCTAGGCACATGGTGCAGACCCAAAAGGAAGTGTGGGCTATAATAAAGGTATAGGGTACAGGATTGGCTTAACCTGGGGCTTATCTGGTGCGGCTGCAAGTGGCGCCTTGAGGCTGCTGTGCTGCCGCCACTGAAGCCCCTCACACCACCCAGAGGCGCTGCTGGGAGTGCTGCGAACTCGCCTCCAGAGGGGCTGCTGGGGGATGGGCGAAGGGGTGATCATGGGGGCGAGGGGAGGGAATGGAAGGGGAGACTCGGAGAGGAAGTTAAGTGGAGGCGAGAGGGGCAGGCAGATGGAAGTCAGATGTGCAGGCGAGGCAGACAGGCAAGGAAGAGGGGAGGGGAAGGGCCACTGGAGGAGATACAGCCACAAGGCACAGACCCAGGGGAACCTGAGGGGTACCTGAGGGGGCTGTTAGGCTCTAGGGGGTATGAACCTGAGGGGATTACCTGCAGTAGGGGGGAGGGTCTGTGGCTTGTGAACCGGGCCTCAACCAGTGGCAACAAACTTTCAAGCATGGAGGGCAAAGGAAAAAACATGAGAGCAAAACGAAGCAACGATAAGGGAGCAGTGGGCAGCACCCAAGGGCGAGTGCAGGGAGGACATGGCACTTAGCTTCAAGTGAGGTGCAGAGCGGTGAGAGTGGGTAACCAGCATCCCGTCCCTTGCCCTCCCCTGCTGCTCTCTCCCTTCCACCCCTCCTCTCAGCCTTGCAGTGTGTGCACCTGCACGGCCACAGGGGAGGGGCGTCGGGGTATGGCGGTGCTGGCCCCACGCCCCTCCCCACCGCACACACATGGCAGGGGTGAGTGGGCATGGCATGGCAGCACGCACAGCTGCAGCACACAGGGCCACGTGCATGAATGAGCGCTGGAAACGAAAGCAAAGCCTGCTGCACCACGCCACACCCAAGGGGGGAACCAAAGTGTCAACCTTACCACGCTCTGACCCAAAGTCCCAACCTTACCTTGGCTGAAAGTTTTGCACCTGTGAACCAGGGGGTAACCTACCAGAGGAGGGGGAGAGGGGTACCTAATCCGAACCTGGAACCTGGAACCTGGTACCTGGGGGACAAGGGCCTGGGTGTGGCAGTGAGCAGGGCGACAGTGCGGACCGCATGCGAGCGAAATGACTAAGTGAGGCGAGTCAAGGACGGAGAAGCACATATCTGCGAAGCAGCACACTCCGTTGGCGTTGGCGTTGACTGCAGGACAGTCCGCACCCAGCAGCATCCACAGCAGCAGCGGAGCCGTTCAATCGGACAACAGCAACGGCGTCGTTGACTGGAGAAGTTTCAGCTGGCGAGGGGAGGGGGGAGGGGTGGGGGACGGTATGGGTGAGGGGAAGGGGCGGAGAGACAGTGGCAAGCAGGAGGAGGGCAGCAGAGGCGCACACATGCATAGGGAGAAGAGAGCGCCAACGACAGCAACGCCTGCCGCACCACACCCAGGGGGGTACCTCAGTCTGAACCGTACCAAGGCCGAACCTGTACCTAGGAGAATAAATTTTGCACCTGCAGTGGGGGGAGAGTTACCTGTTGGGCGAACCTGATACCCGAGTGTGGGGGGAGCCCTTGCGTGTGGTGGTGAGCAGGCGTGCAGCGAGTGGCGCTCGTGGCAGCGAGGAGAGGGGCGCATGCATGCGGAACGGCAAGGGTTCAAGGGAAGAGGGTACTTATCTCCGTTCCAACACAACCCGGAGCATTGATGCTGGCAGCCCATGCCAAGCAGCACAAGGGCTCACTGGAGTGCCTGAGTTGGCAGCACGCCAGTAGAGCGGAAACGCCAGTAAAGCGGAAACGCATGGATGCAGAAAATCGCGTTGAACCGGACCCAGTAGCTCTCATGCGCGAGTCGAGCAGTGAACCTGCAAGACAAGGCACAAACGAAAACCATCAGATAGTGTGTATCTTGGAAATTGACACGAACCAAACGAAAAAAAAACGTGACTCTCTAGCCGAGATGTGGTAGACCAACGCCATCGTTTCAGAACTTACGTTGAGAGCTCGTTCACGTTCGAGCGTGCTGAAATGCCAAACTTAAGAGCGTTCGTGCGTGCTGGGATGCCTTGAGTCGAAGCAGATGTTTTTTTTGGCTTGGGCGATTTCGCAAGTTCCTGCGGAGAAGCAGAGAGTGAAATCGGTCGTCTAACAATAAAATCAAAACTGAGCGATTGGCCTTGGAATCTTGAACTTACGATGAAAAAAAAATGGTTTCTCGCGGATAGATTAGACAGTTGATCCGAACGTCAACGCTGGAAGAACTTCAGAAGCGGCGATGGTGCTTGCAGCAGCGGAACTTAAAAGAAAACTAGAATTCGTGTAGGCTTGTTGAGCGAAGTAGCAGCACGCGAGGGAGCTCAATGAATAATGGAACACGAGAATGCGAGAGCAGAGTGGCGCTAGCAGGAGACATTGCGTTGAGAAAAGGTAGAGGCTGAAATGGAACGTGGTTGGAGGTAGAGGAATGGCATGCAGGAAGTGAGATTGGGTGGAGGCTGAATGTGAGAAATGGGGTCAGAACCGAACTGCGAAGACCGCCTTGAGTTTAATGGCAAATGTTTGAAGAGGGAAAATATTTTAGCTAAAAGAGCACCGTTTAATGGCTAAAACTCCCCACAGGAAAAGCTAATGAATCAACATTGCTTCCTTCTCCCACCCTCACCGCCTTTACCACCCCCAACTCCCCTACCCTAAAAATAATCAACTGCCGCGGGCAACTTTGCGTCCACGGCCACGTGCCTGGGATACTCTAACCGAGGCAATAACGCCGACACCTCTGGGAGGGATGGCCGTTGGTGTAGAATAAAATGAGGGAGATTTGACCGTCGGATCTTACTGAAACTAAAGGCGTGAAGGGCTCAGATTGATGGGGTGAACGTTCAAACGATCTCTCTTGGCGGCAAACCGACATTTCGTAACGCGGCGCTGCGAATCGTGAGGCTGATGTCGGCTGGATAGCCCACTAGGAGGGAACCCGAAGTAGCCGTTGGGGGGAAAGCTGATGAGCATGAGATCAGCTGGCTCTGGGTGGGTGGGCTTCCCTGCTGTCGCAGATCTCTATGGAAATATCAGAGGTGCAGTCAGAGACAGGATGGTGGCGACAATGGGGTACCTGCAACGTAAAGTTTTCGCAAATTTTCAGATTGAGAATGTAACGCTGAGCATGGTTGGCGAACGAGCCCAGTTCCTGGCTCCGTTTCAACGGCCCTGCTCGATAGGCTAACACTTAGCAAAAGGCAAGTGTTAGGCTAGTGTTGAGAGGAGGGATCAGCGCAATTTCCTCTAGCTAACTGACCGCCCAGCCGAATCGGAAGCCCCGCACCTAGAAATTGGAAGGAGCGAGACCCTGAGGGCGATGCTGCGCGCCTCCTTCTACCTGGGTCATCGCGGGCTGTGTCGAAAATATTGGATTGCTCGCTAGAGGGGTCTGGGTAACAACGCCGGCAAAAAAAAAGCCTTGTCCACAAATCGCTCGCCTGGGATCGATCAGGTTTTCGAATGGAAGTTTTTTTTCGAGCAGTCTAGTTTGGCGGTTTTTGTTTTAGGTCCACGGAGTGGGTATCCCTACCACTGCAAACACTTGACGAGCCCTTCAGCAAACCCCACTATTGGGGGGCGAGGGTTAGGCTAGGCGAGGGCTAAACCTTTGCCCGAGTGAGAAGGACGCGTGAGCTTTCTGAGTGGGCTTACGCTTCTTGAGTGGGATGCGTTCGACAGGCTAACACCGACCCTTGAGGTTCCAGAGCGTTAAGGCCCTGTGACACCAAATTACGGGCTGACCGTAGAATAAAAAAACAGAAATCGAAACAATCGAACAGGGCCGACGTGTGGTATGGATTCACACCACAGAAGTAATTTCAGAGACAACCTTGTGACGTGGCTATTCTGATCCAAAAGCTGACAGGGTTTCTGGCGTGGCAAACACCAGGTCTGGTTTGGCCAAACACATACAGGTTTGCGACATACGCTTCAAAGCAAGCTCTGGTTTGATCAACCAAGAGAGCCTTTCACAGCACCAAACACTTCATCGATGAACATATTTCTAGTTGGCATAAATTACACTTACAGCACACAATATTGAGAATAACACCCTCTTGGTCTTTGTGGTGTGTTGCGATTTCCCGTGCAAATGGCGATTCGCCAACCTGTCTCGTGCGAGCCTAGTCAACTTCGCACACAACGACGTGATTCGATTGGACACGACCCGTGATGTTTCCTTTAAGCGCCTTCACTGATTGGTGAAATCTGGTGAGCGGATGAGGTTGTGCGACAATGTCGCTCAGAATGAGCCCCACAGAAATGAATGTGGAACCCAAGATCTCTCATGCGAATACATTGCCAAGGCCTGCAACATTTCTCTGACAAAACAGGGATCTGTATTTCAGCCATGGCTGCTGCTCTTTCCTCCGGCGTCCAGTCCAAGGTGCTCTCCGTGAAGGCCGCTCCCGCAAAGGGCTTCGGTGCCCTCAAGAGCGAGATTCACAATGTGACGGTCGGTAGCTCTTTCTCCACTGGCGCTGAGATCACTGCGAAGGCCACTTTGAAGTCCCGTTCTAGCAATGTCAGGAGGCCCATGCTCGTAGTCTGCAAGACTGGCAATAAGACCGTCGTGGTCGGTCTTGCCGCCGATTCAGGATGCGGGAAGAGCACATTCATGAGGCGCATGACAGGTGTGTTTGGAGGCTCGGCTTCTCCCCCCAAGGGAGGCAACCCGGACTCCAACACCCTTCTCAGCGACATGACCACCGTTATTTGCCTCGACGACTACCATTCGCTCGACCGCAACGGTCGCAAGGTGGCGAATGTTACGGCGCTGGATCCCAAGGCGAACGACTTCGACCTGATGTACGAGCAGGTGAAGGCGCTCAAGGAAGGCAAGTCCGTGATGAAGCCCATTTACAACCACGTGTCCGGCCTTCTCGACCCGCCGGAACTCATCGAGTCCCCCGACATTCTCGTCATCGAGGGCCTTCACCCCATGTACGTCTCGCATTTTGTTTTTCCGTCTTTTTCGTTGTTGTCGATCCTGGCTTTTACGTCTAGGATTTCTCGTCTAAATCCTGTCTGTTGTTGGTGTCAGGTATGATGAGCGCGTGCGAGATCTCATAGATTTCAGCATTTATCTTGATATCAGCGATGAGGTCAAGTTCGCCTGGAAGATCCAGGTACGCAGTTCTTCGGCACTGTTTCCGCAGTTCCGATGACTTCTGACAGAAATCCCCTGCACATTGTATGTATTTGGGCCCATAATCCAACATTTCCTTGCTTCTTGCAGCGTGACATGGCTGAGCGCGGTCACAGCCTGGAGAGCATCAAGGCTTCGATTCAAGCGAGGAAGCCAGACTTCGACGCCTACATTGGTATGCTGCCTCATTCCATCACATTGTATCACATTCAATCGACATATTTATTGTTTCAATTTACAAGTGGGCATGAACGAATAAAGAACAATAATCGTGGAAGCTTCATTCATTGTCCTCCCCCCCCAAACATTCCACCTTCAAACTCCGTCAGATCCGCAGAAGGAGCACGCGGATGTGGTGATTCAGGTGCTGCCGACACAGCTGATTCCCGACGACAACGAGGGGAAGGTGCTGCGCGTGCGCATGGTGCAGAAGGAGGGCCTCGGGACGTTCGACCCCGTGTACCTGTTCGACGAGGGCTCCAGCATCTCCTGGATCCCCTGCGGCCGCAAGCTCACCTGCTCCTACCCGGGCATCAAGTTCTTCTACGGCCCTGACACCTACTTCGGGAATCCGGTGAGTAACAGACAATGTTAGAGTGCCCGGTATGTCTCTGCCTGATTTCGGACCTAAAGAAGTGGTGCATCAGAACAAGTATTGAACGAACTTCAAGCGCAGACTTTCGTGTTCAAGATCCACACGATTCACTTACACCGTTCTAAACAAATCATTCTTCCTTACCAACAATCAGGTGTCTGTTCTGGAGATGGACGGCCAGTTCGACAAGCTGGACGAGCTGATCTATGTGGAGAGCCATCTGAGCAACACGTCCACCAAGTTCTACGGAGAGATCACCCAGCAGATGCTCAAGAACGCCGACTTCCCTGGTAGCAACAACGGCACAGGCTTCCTGCAGACCATAGTGGGGCTCAAGCTGCGCGAGGCCTATGAGCGCATTGTTGCTGAGTCCCCTGTTGCTGCTTAACTAAGGATAATAATGTTTTAAGATACGCATTTTCCATTGTGCTTTCAGTGGAGCCTAGTCTGGAGGAGATTAGACAACTGTACTGTAAATAGCACGAGAAGCATTAATGCACAAACCACAGCTCTACTAGGGTACCCTACCGTATTACCGTATCCTTGGTTGTCTCTCAATCTGTAAGGATCAAGCTATCTTGGTGTGCCCCAGCTCTCTGTGCTCACCCAGATATTCATGTGAGCTATGCAATATACAGTAGATAAGACGGCTACAACAATATCAGATCAGAAGTTCCTGCCCTATTAGACACTCCCTAAGGCTATCTTTGCAGGGGAGCTGGGCAAGCTCGAACTGTACTGTAACAAGCCACAAAATAAAAACGACGCATGCTGCGGTGGACAAAAGGTCAAACATTTTCATCCTTATTCAAGAACATGCACCTCGATCCCTAACAGTGGAGCGGAGGGCCTGTGGAATATCGCACCACATTTGCACGCACCAGTACGGTGAATTGCAGCTGCTTGCCAAGCACAGCTGAGAAAAAAACGCACACAAATACCCCCCATAATTACTTGGGAACAGGTCCAGAGAACTCTATGTACGAGTCTGTGCCGTAGCCAGAGGCTGGCTGTGAATGGTGGTACGAGTAGAGCGAGGCGAGGGGCGAGGCGGGCACCTCATCGAGCTGAATCTCCTCCGCCCCCACACCAAAGGCACGGCGCCTCACATCTCGCAGCATGCGCGCCACATCCACCATCTCTGGCCGCTCCTTGCCCGGCAGCTTGGGACACGGGAGGTGGAGGGAGAGTGGATTGTGTAAACTTTGGGGTGTGTGTATGGAGGGAGGGGGGGAGGGGAGGGGGGGTGAGTCAAGGCAAAGACTCTGTTTTTGACAGGACTGAACAAAACAGCTTAGCTGGCATGGCACACAAACCTGCATGCAGTCCTTGGCAATCTTGGACATGGCAAGGAGATGCTCCGAGATCTCCGGCGTGAAGATGCGCGGGTCTGAGATGGGCGCTATGTCCCCATCCTCCACGTATGGGATGGTCTGCGGGATGCAAGCCACGCCGGGTAGAACATCACGTGTGACGGCCGGCAGAGAAGAGAATGGTGAAGAGTGCTGTGCAGAAAGCCTTGTTTTGAGTCGACTCAAAACAGAGTGCTGTGCAGAAAGGGCAAACACAAACATGGTTGCAAGGAATGGCCACCACGACAAAAATTGCAAGATGGTCGCAATGATAACGTGTGGCATGGTGGGATGAGGAGGTGAGAGGGCGTACCCACGAGGAGATGTGGATGGTGGCATGGTTGTCGCTGGTGGGGTCCACAGACGAGGCAGGGCGGCCTGTCACCAGCTCCATGAGCACCACTCCGAAGCTGGGAGGGCGGGAAAGAGAGGCGAGAGAATGAGAAACGAGATGCGTGAATGAACAAGGACAGGCTGGTTCGCACAATGCTGACAAGGGCAGGGCGGCCTGTCACCAGCTCCATGAGCACCACTCCAAAGCTGGGAGGGCGAGGGGAGAGAGAGATGAGAGAATTGAGGAGAAATACATGAATCAACAAGGACAGGCCGGTTCGCACACCAGCTTCATCAGCAACACTCCGAAGCTAGGAGCGCACGGGAGAGAAGGACGAGTGATTGAGCAGATGCAGGTGAGAGAATGAAGAGAGGTAACATGACTAGAAACGACAGGCTGATTTGATTAGCACATCGCCAAAAGGCACCCGCCTCACCTGTACACATCAGCCTTGGTGGTAACCTTATCCCGGCTGAAATACTCGGGGTCTAAATACCCCCTTGTGCCCACCATCCTGGTCGCCACCGACGCGCCGGCATCCCCCAAATCCTTCACCAGCCCGAAATCCGCTATCTTCGCCTGCCAGCCCGCATCTAACAAAATATTCGCGGGCTTGATATCCCGATGCACCATGGCCGGCTGGGTGGAGCTGTGCAGGTAAGCCAGCCCTTCAGCCACGCCTATGGCGACCTCGAGGCGCTGCTGGAAGTCGAGGCACGCGCCCTGGTGTGAGGCGTAGAGGTAGTTGCTGAGAGGGCCGTTGGGTACGAACTCGTAGACCAGGATCTGCTCCCCCCGCTCGCTGCAGTAGCCTAGCAGGCGCACCAGGTTGCGGTGGCTCAGGCGGGATACCGTGCGGACCTGGAGGGGAGGTTCGAGGGAGGAGGCATGGACAGTGTCGGTGTGTGGAAGTGAGTCCTGAGGCTTGTCAATGCAGACGTTGGTCATTGTTCATGGAACGGCGCAGACTTGAAAGTGGCAGGGGAGGGGATGGCAGGTTACCAGGAGAAAAGGGAGAAAAGGGAGAAAAGGGAGAAATGGGAGAAAAGGGAGAAAAGGGAGAAAAGGGAGAAATGGGAGAAAAGGGAGAAATGGGAGAAATGGGAGAAATGGGAGAAAAGGGAGAAAAGGGGGAAAAGGGAGAAAAGGGGGAAATGGGAGAAAAGGGGGAAATGGGAGAAAAGGGGGAAATGGGAGAAAAGGGGGAAATGGGAGGACAGGGAAAGGACAAAAAGGATGCACTGTGCAATCGGGGTAAGTTGTACTGCTGGCAACATGTGGAATACACGTAGTGTTGTAAAAAGGAACTATTCCACAAGAGCGGGCGAGTGAGTGAGTGAGTGAGTGATTGAGTGAGCGTGCACTTAAGAGGCACGCCAGCCCACCTCGGTTTCAAAGACGGTGCTCTCAGAGGCATCCTTGGCGATCATGCGCGAGCGCTTGATGGCCCACAGCTGCACACAAACAATCGCACAGCGCATGGCACATGACACATGAGCACAAGAAACGGGGTTTCATGCAACACACGGAGGAGCCGCATCGCAAAGGACCAAACGCTGACATGAAACTGGCCCAGATGAACCACCCTGTGCCCCTATCACCCAGGGAAACTGCTATGGGTGAGCCAGAAGGGGCCCCCCAAACCTGGTGCATCAAATCACCTGGTCGGCAGGCCCCTGTGCGCAGTACACGACACCGAAGGCGCCCTGGCTGCAGGGGCGCAGGGGCGCGGGGGCACAGGGATGCAGGGTTCCCCAATGCCTCTCACCTGAAACCCTGGCCCCTGGTGCCTCTCATCTCACCTGAACCCCTGGCCCCTGGTGCCTCTCATCTCACCTGAACTCCTGGCCCCTGGTGCCTCTCATCTCACCTGAACCCCTGGCCCCTGGTGCCTCTCATCTCACCTGAACCCCTGGCCCCTGGTGCCTCTCATCTCACCTGAACCCCTGGCCCCTGGTGCCTCTCATCTCACCTGAACCCCTGGCCCCTGGTGCCTCTCATCTCACCTGAACCCCTGGCCCCTGGTGCCTCTCATCTCACCTGAACCCCTGGCCCCTGGTGCCTCTCATCTCACCTGAACCCCTGGCCCCTGGTGCCTCTCATTTCACCTGAAACCCTGGCCCCTGGTGCCTCTCATCTCACCTGAACCCCTGGCCCCTGGTGCCTCTCATCTCACCTGAACCCCTGGCCCCTGGTGCCTCTCATCTCACCTGAACCCCTGGCCCCTGGTGCCTCTCATCTCACCTGAACCCCTGGCCCCTGGTGCCTCTCATCTCACCTGAACCCCTGGCCCCTGGTGCCTCTCATCTCACCTGAACCCCTGGCCCCTGGTGCCTCTCATCTCACCTGAACCCCTGGCCCCTGGTGCCTCTCATCTCACCTGAACCCCTGGCCCCTGGTGCCTCTCATCTCACCTGAACCCCTGGCCCCTGGTGCCTCTCATCTCACCTGAACCCCTGGCCCCTGGTGCCTCTCATCTCACCTGAACCCCTGGCCCCTGGTGCCTCTCATCTCACCTGGTCGCCGGGTCCCTGGGCACAGTACACGACTCCGAAGGCGCCCTGGCCGATGAGGTTGGCGCGGTTGAAGTTGTTAGTGGCCAGGCGGATGTCCCTCAGGGTGAAGCGGTGGAACGAGTGCCGCTTCAACGCCTCCTCCCACAAACGGGAGAGAGGGTTGCGAGAAGGGTTGAGGAGACAAGTGGGTGATAACTGAGGTGTTGGCCTTCATGCCACAGAAAGAGCGGATTACAATGAAAGGTGAGTGTACAGGGGATAAGGTCACACACAGGAGAGAGGCAGCAGCAGCGCCAGCAGCAGTAGCAGTGGCAGTGGCAGTGGCAGTGGCAGCGGCAGCGGCAGCGCCAGTGGCAGTGGCAGCGGCAGTGGCAGTGACACGGCACGCACCTAGCTTGGAGGCAACGAATCGTTTCCTCCACTGCCACCAGATGAGCGCTGCTAGCACAGCGGCCACAAACACCACACCCGCCACCACTATTCCTATTATGGCCCCCGTTGACAGCGCTGGTGGGATGGGACGTGGGTGCACGGCAGAAAGGAAAACAAATTCACGGAGAAGCAAAGAGGGAGGGGCGAGAGAAGAATGATGCAAGAAAAAAGCCAGACAATGAAGACACATGAGTGCAGTTGCGCTCACCTCTACGGGCTCCTATATCCTAAAAGCTCTCATATTCATTGGTGAATGCATGGGTGAGTGCACGGCTGCGTGTATGGGTGAGTGCATGGCTGCGTGTATGGGTGAGTGCATGGCTGCGTGTATGGGTGAGTGCATGGCTGCGTGTATGGGTGAGTGCATGGCTGTGTGTATGGGTGAGTGCATGGCTGCGTGTATGGGTGAGTGCATGGCTGCGTGTATGGGTGAGTGCATGGCTGCGTGTATGGGTGAGTGCATGGCTGCGTGTATGGGTGAGTGCATGGCTGCGTGTATGGGTGAGTGCATGGCTGCGTGTATGGGTGAGTGCATGGCTGCGTGTATGGGTGAGTGCATGGCTGCGTGTATGGGTGAGTGCATGGCTGCGTGTATGGGTGAGTGCATGGCTGCGTGTATGGGTGAGTGCATGGCTGCGTGTATGGGTGAGTGCATGGCTGCGTGTATGGGTGAGTGCATGGCTGCGTGTATGGGTGAGTGCATGGCTGCGTGTATGGGTGAGTGCATGGCTGCGTGTATGGGTGAGTGCATGGCTGCGTGTATGGGTGAGTGCATGGCTGTGTGTATGGGTGAGTGCATGCATACGGGGAGGCTGGCAGGAGCTGCAGAAGGAGGAGCAGGCGGAGCAGACGGGGCAGCTCATGTTGGGCGGGGCATAAAAGGTCTCTGGTGCGTTGCTGGGGAGGTTGTTGCTGCAGCACTGCCCCTCTGGCGGACAGAAGTTGTTGCCTGCGGGGAGCATGCTGGTGGGCGGGCAAATGCAGGTTGGATAGGGGGGTTGGATGGATGGGAGGGAGGATAGAAGAGGTGTGGCAGAAAGTCAACGACAGGTGCCTATGGTATGGAGCAAGGGACTGGGGAGGGAGGAGGTCACTGGGTGTGACCAGTAGCTGTGCACAGCACACACGAGCAAGGCAACAAGCAAGGCACTTCTGTCACATAAAGGCTCGATAGGCATTTCATGACACATAAAGGCCCGATAGGCATTTCATGACACATAAAGGCCCGATAGGCATTTCATGACACATAAAGGCCCTATAGGCATTTCATGAAACATAGGAGTTGGTCAGGTTTGAGGTTTGATCTCACATGTGTGTGAGGTTGGGCATGCTGGCGAAGCATGAAGGCATGGAGCCTGATAGACTGGTGTTCGTGGCATTGCTGGTGGGGATGGGGTTGCAGGAACGAAGGAGAGACGAAGAGGGCGTAAGCTGGGTTGTGATGGAAGCGAAGCAGAAGGGAAGCATTGATGTTTTGAGGTGTTTCACAAACGAGAACAATGAGGTGGGCGGGTTTGTAGAGAAGAGCAGTGAAAATATTCTCCAGCAGGGAGATGTGGTTAAAAAAACAGACATACTAGGTTCAATAAATAAGTATAAAAGGGTGACTGAGGGTTGTTCAGGGATCCAAAGGGTTGCTGAGGGGTGCAAGGGGTAACTGACAAGAACTCAAGGGAGATGAGGCGAGTGAAGGTGTCGGGGATGGACCCATTCAGGCCCAGATTCGAAGATATGGAGCTGGTGGGGGGGGAGAGATATAGAGCAGCAAATGTCTGCTTTGAGGAATAGAGAAGAGATGTGAAGGATTATGACGTGCACCACCCGCTCATACGCTGCACTGCCCGCTCATACGCTGCACCGCCCGCTCATACGCTGCACCGCACGCTCATACGCTGCACCTCACGCTCATACGCCGCACCGCCCGCTCATACGCTGCACCGCACGCTCATACGCTGCACCTCACGCTCATACGCCGCACCGCCCGCTCATACGCTGCACCTCACGCTCATACGCTGCACCGCCCGCTCATACGCTGCACCTCACGCTCATACGCTGCACCGTCCGCTCATACGCTGCACCGCCCGCTCATACGCTGCACCGCCCGCTCATACGCTGCACCGCCCGCTCATACGCTGCACCGCACGCTCATACGCCGCACCGCCCACTCATACGGTGCACCGCCCGCTCATACGGTGCACCGCCCGCTGATACGGTGCACCGCACGCTCATGCGCAGCACCACCCCCTCATACGCGTCTGAAACAGAGGAAGTAGCGGCAAGTGGGAAACGGGAGTTGATTGGAGTACTGGCGTGTGAGAAAAAGAGCAGAGGCAGGTCTTACAGCGAGATGAGATTCACGAGGTTCCCCAGGGGGCCAGGAAGGTGGCCGTTGAGGGTGTTGTTGTCCACCCAGCTGCCATGCAGCGGGGAGTGAGGAGTTGAGGTGTATGGGCGAGCAGAACACGAGTGTGAGGTAAGGGCACATGCGTGGTTGGGAAAGGCGAGTGTACAGAAGTGGAAGTAAGTGCAAGTGAGAGGTGCATAGAACGATGGCAGAGAGGGTGAGAAAGACGAACTGGGGGAAGAAGGGGAGAGATGTGGGGGAGGGGAAGGGGGATGTGGAGGGGAGGAGGGTGAGCGTGGTGGAAAGGAAGATGCTGCAAGGCCAGATGGGGGAGCCGAGCTGGTCCCTTTAGATGTGACTCTGAATGAATGTCGTACAGGTTGGTGAGGTTTTGGGCGAGAGAAATGTTGGATGGGATGGCACCAGTGAGCCTGTTGCGCTTGAGGAACCTGTGAGGCGATTGGGAGCATGCGAGCATGGGAGTGTGAGCGCAGGGGAGTGTGAGAGAGTGGAATTGAGACAGCATGGGAGCATGAAAGCATGAGCGCAAGGGAGAGTGACTGCATGAGAGCATGACCCCGTTTATGAAGAAGTTTTGTGAGACGTCTCAAAATGTATGAAGAAGTGCTTTGAAGTGTCTCAAAACACTTCTTCATACACGATACTTTTGAGACGTCTCAAAACATTTCTTCATACACGATACTTTTGAGACGTCTCAAAACACTTCTTCATACACGATACTTTTGAGACGTCTCAAAACACTTCTTCATACACGATACTTTTGAGACGTCTCAAAACATTTCTTCATACACGATACTTTTGAGACGTCTCAAAACACTTCTTCATACATGATACTTTTGAGACGTCTCAAAACATTTCTTCACACACGATACTTTTGAGACGTCTCAAAACACTTCTTCATACACGATACTTTTGAGACGTCTCAAAACACTTCTTCATACACGATACTTTTGAGACGTCTCAAAACACTTCTTCATACATGAGCGCAAGGGAGAGTGACTGCATGAGAGCATGACCCCGTGGGAGGGCAATGGACTGAAAGGCAAGACATGGTATGCGACTGCAGTGCAAGACACAGGTAGAGAGAGCATGGCCAATGGGGAACCAGAGTTCAGGTTAGTGTGAGAGCGAGCATGGGCACACTAAAACGTCCGCAGGAAGCATGATGGCACATGGCACAGCGGAAAACAGAGGACAGGGAAAGCAGTTCAGATGGGTGTTGGAGCGAGCAAGGGCGCAGTACAGAGTCTGCAGAGAGAGCATGCTGCCGAGCTCTTGTGGAATGGGTCCTGACAGCTGGTTGTGATGCAGGTCCCTGTGCGGGTACAGTTGGCACGCACATCACAATAAGGCATCATGGGGAATGCGAATCACAATAAGGTGTCACAGGGAAGGCAGGCACATCACCCATAAGGCGCCATGGGGAAGAAATATCGCAATCGGGCGTCACGGGGAAGGCGCACCACAACAACGCGTCATGGGGAAGGCCTAATGTGCCTGGCTGGGGCCTGGAAGCACTGGGAGGCAGTCAACGAGGACACCCATGCAATGCAGGCGCGGTGAATGGTGAGGTAAGGCAGGACGGTTAGATATAAAGATCAGGCCAAGGATCAGAGAAGGGACAAGGCCGGCCGGCGTTGCAATTATTCAATGTGATTCAGACTAGAGCGACGAGCTCGGAGACAGGGTGACAGGTGAGCTGCCGAGAGGTAGATCGAGTGAGGGAGGAAGATTGGTGGAGTGTGATGGGCAGGGCGGGTGCGCACAGCACTAGGAGGTTGGTGAGGGCAGCGAAGCAGGCGGGGATGGTGCCGTCTAGGCTGTTGTTGCTCAGATCCCTGCAGTGTGCGTACAGCAATCAGGCACATACCGGAAAAGGTGTGAGGGATCTCGAAACGCTACCTGCGACACATGCAACAGCAACATGGCAAGAATGGGGTGCATGCCTAGCTCTCTCACATGCACTGCAGGCCGCCATGCCTCTCACATGCACTCCAGGGTGCTTTGCCTCCCACATGCACTGCAGGCCGCCATGCCTCTCACATGCACTGCAGGCCGCCATGCCTCTCACATGTACTGCAAGGCGTTCCACCCCTCACATGCACTGCACGGCGCTCTACCCCTCACATGCACTGCACGGCGCTCTACCCCTCACATGCACTGCACGGCGCTCTACCCCTCACATGCACTGCACGGCGCTCTACCCCTCACATGCACTGCACGGCGCTCTACCCCTCACATGCACTGCACGGCGCTCTACCCCTCACATGCACTGCACGGCGCTCTACCCCTCACATGCACTGCACGGCGCTCTACCCCTCACATGCACTGCACGGCGCTCTACCCCTCACATGCACTGCACGGCGCTCTACCCCTCACATGCACTGCACGGCGTTCCACCCCTCACATGTACTGCAAGGCGGTGAGCTGGCAGAGTTGAGTGGGAATGGGGCCACTGAAGTTGTTTCCTTGAAGGTTCCTGTGGCACTCGAAAGAAGGCAGGATGAGGGAAACGGGGAGGGTCAAGCATAGGGCCCACGGGAAGAAAGGAGAAAAGTTGCGAGGAATAGAGAGAAGGCGAAAGGAAGGGATTTAAGGGGGCCCGGAGAAGAGGCGACAAAGATGCAGCCTGCAGCCAGTGCTGCCAGCAGTGGCATGGCATGGCATGGCATGGGTGAGGCGCGCAGGAAGAAAAAATGTCATGGCGTGGCGACTGACAGGTAGGTGAGATGGAGGAGGCCACCAATGGACGCTGGGATGGGGCCCGAGAGATTTGAGAGAGCCACGGACCTGCACCAGCAGCAGAAGAACCACACGCAGCAACAACAGAAGAGACTCTGTCAGCAACAGCAGCAGCAGCGCTGCAGCGGCGTCTCTGAGACTACGCCAGGCAAGCTGTAGACCAACGACAACGACATGGCATGGCATGGCATGTCATGGCATGGCATACCATGGCATGGTGGGGTCAGACTACTTGATGCATGGTGGAGTCCGTGTAATTGGTGAGTGATGAAAATTGTATGCTGATAGACTGACAGTGAGTGACTCACAGTCCAGTGTAATTGGTGGGGCTGTAGAGCGCACAGGCGCAAGGGGAGTCGGATGGAGGAGGGGGGTCGCAGGAGACCACGTTGGTGGTGCTGTTGCACACCAAAGTACACGGTCCCTCCTTTACTTGATCGGCGGGGGGAAACCACAGCGAGTATAGGTTACGAATCGTAGTGCCTGAGAGGTGAAACACGGATAAGAGTGGGGCGGAAGGCGGAGGATAAGGAGGCAAAAGCGGAGGGAGGGGAGCAGAAAGGAGGGCGGAGTGAAGCGGGAAGGGAAGATGACCAGGTGGAAAGAATTTCAGCAGATATAGTGGTTTGAAGAGTCTGAAAAAAAGGAAAGATGGCTCACATTCGTCCCCCCACTGCTTGCAGGATCCCGTCCAATTTTCATTCACGGGGCAAGAAGCATTCGATGACCCGTTTCCTGCTCGCGGTGGTGAGGATGGCGGAGACGCGGGAGACGGAGCGAGCGGCATAGACGGGCTAGGCGGAGCGAGCGGTTGAGCCTCGGCCACGTGGCTGAAACAGTTTGGCTGCAGTACCAGTGCGAGCGCCATGGCAAGAAGCAGCCATCCGGCAGGCCGACGTGGCGGACTGTGAGCCAATACTTGCATCGTTACGGACAATATCATACTTCCAACGTTTGACACAAAGCTAACGTTTCACACGAATCGAGGGCACCTTCAATCCGACGAACAATACGCTTCCAGCCTAGTACCTCCGAGAGAGCCAGAAAGCGTTACATATGAGGTGAGGAAGAGGGCGGTGCGCACTGGGACGATTCATGGGCGCGTCTTTTACAGGCAGCAGCCAACGTCATCCGTCTAGAGCAATCGACGAACCTCCTACATAGCCATTGTTGGCACAACCTGATAAGTTTTGACCTTCGCTTTAGGGTTGCACCACAAATCAGTCACCAAGCCTATTTCGTTCTAGTGACTAGTCCCTGCCAGTTGTGACGGCGAGGCGATAAGATGGGATGGGAGTTCAATAATGATGTAGCTTCATGGACAGCTCCTCCAGTGATGCGACGTCGCCTAGGCAGAACCGCACAGCGGGCGAAACGTAGGGACCCACAAAGCAAAATCTTCGCTAATTTGTCGTGAAGATCGTACAGTCCGATCGTGATGATTTGGGCAGAGAGAGGTAACCAGGCACAAGTCAACCGATTTCACGAAACAAATCTGCGCTCAGATGTTTTACTTGTACCGTAGCGACATTTTCAATGGTAACCAGGAATCCCGAAAGTACTTGACCAACAACAAACCAGAATCAAGGCACCGCACCGCACACCAGCTCTCCATATTTTCACGTACTAGCGTACGCACATCCAGCAATTCTCTCAAGACAGTCAAATCAAGAATGCAACACTTTTGTTCTCAGACATGGCTTCCAGGAATGAACTATCACCTCAACCCATGCTCATGAAGGCTACCTTGTGTTTCCTGGTTATTCTTCCAACAGCCTATGCAGTCATTGTCGACAAGAACGAGGGTGTCTCAGGTCTGGCTTTCAGATAAGAAAATGAACGCACACCATAACGTTCATCGAAACATCAGTCAGACTCATCAGCTTCCCTTTTGGCAGGCTTCGTCCCATTTCAGGCTGTGCATTTTCTGGGCGTCACCATGATCGATAATGAGTGCTCTTCCGCTTGTCATCTTCATGTAATCGAGCTCAGCAATGCAAGGGTTCTCCAGGAACTGGCACTTTCGTCGGATTATTTTGCAGAAGTACCATTGATCGACTTGCAGCGGGATATGATTTACGAAGCAAGCATCACGTGCGGCGACGTCGGCTGCTTATCAGGTCAGCCCGTTGTTGTGTAAGAAGCTTCAAGTCACCAATGCTCACCTCGTATTTCCATGGCAGATCCCCCGAAGCTTGTATTCCAGTCATCTAATGAAAAAGTTTCACACATCGGAAACATTACAATCAAGCTGAAAGAAACAAACGCTCCACTCATTCAGGCGGAAATCTCGGCGGAGCACTCATCATCAGTATCGCTTCAGCAGGAGGACTTCTCTGAAACAAGCTGTAACTGCTCAGCTGTTGACGAAGATGCTATTGTGAATCCAGAACGATTTCCACGCTGGGTGTTTCCAGCTGTTGGATTAACTGCCCTAGTATTGGCATCAGTATTGGTGCTCTATTTTTAATTACCTGGGAAATGTACCAGGAAGCCAATATTTCAAGACCACAAGAGATTACTGTATTGTGAATTCAGAATGATTCCCAAAATTGGTTTTCCCACCTGCTGGATAAACTTCAATCGGTTTGGAACCGGGTGCACTCATACGTATCAACTACCGCTAACTACCGTACCTGTGCACCGTATCAGGCCCAGTTTTGTTTGACGTCAGGAAAAACTTAATATTCCAGTCCACACAAGTGGGGCAAACATTTCGCATAGAATGTGAAGTCTGCCTATTATTGGAAAGCTCACATAACTGATGCCTGACCTAACACATGTATTTTTTGCAGGATACTTCCAAAACATTCAGCCTGTCAGCTGGCTTCAGCAAGCAAGCGCCACTGGAGTTCCAACTTTAAATACCCCTGCTTTGTGTGATGGAGCTGGAAAATGTCGACAATGCGTTTGTTCTTCAGCGCATCACACAAAGGGATCTCCACGGAACCCACCATCTTCTCTGCAGAACCAACCAGCATTGCTTCTGGGCTCCGACTCCACACCTCGATCAGCAGTTTTTCAGTAACTGGAGGTTGATCAAGCAGAAATTCAAACGACTCTTCCCACTGTGGATTCCCCCTACCTTCAGCAACCTGCAGTCATGGAATCAAATCGACATACTCAAAGTAGCAAAAATGATGTCAAGGCAGCTCTCAAGGGACAAACTTTGGAGGATAATGAGCTCTCACCTTGGTCACTCGCTCCTCTCCTGCAAGAAACACCTTGCACAGAAATTGAGCTTCGTCCGGGTTTTTCCCCAGCCAGCTGCTTGCATCTAGATCCAAACCTCTCCACACAGCCACCTCCAGCAAGCCAGGCCCATCAGCATGAAGTTGCAGGCGCGGTTGCATTCCAGGTCTTGCGAGCACTGCATCTTCCGATAGAAGCTTCCGCGGCATTGTCTCGCTTTGCAGGACTCTGAAGGTTGCAATGAGTTCTAGCTCACCGCATGGCAGGCCCCGGTTGCTCCAGAGACCTAGCGTGAAGTGCTGCAGAAGGGAATGACAGCAAGAACACAGATGGCTGCAGTGAGTAGCTCCTGTATTATATCAGCACACAGCCCTTTGCAGACCTTCCAAACTGATAAAAACTTGTTGTTCCAGGCAGCTAACATCTACACGTCTCTTCAAGTGGACATACCTGCGAAATTCCTGGCTGCAGATTGCTGATGTGAAGAACACAGGAGCCGATCAAACTGTCCACCAGCAGTGCTGTCGCATCGTGAACCTCAAATGTCAGGGCATCCGCCTCCTGATCGATCACAGGCAGACGAAGCACCTCACGCCACACCGGGTCACAGGTGTAGGACTCAATGGCGGTGGACACAGAACGGCTTGGATCGATGTAAGCCTGCAAAAAAATAGTCATCCATTTCCATAAGCATTTTTTTTCTCGTTGCAACTAACAAGCTTTCGATCCACTAACGCACCTTGACATAGGGTGATGGATACAGGATATTCTGTGCCAGAAGTAGTCCTGTTTGAGTTAGCTCTGTGGCCTCCACTACCTCCACTGTCACGGTACCAACTGCTCGCTTGGTTCTACCTGTTGTCACTGCTGCTGCCTTCGTGCGGAGTGTGAAGCGCCTTGGCCATAGCATGTGACCCGCAATAGCCGATTGGATCTTCTTGTGCAAGAGGCCGGAGATGCCAGGAAGTGACATGAGGTCAAGCCCCGCATAGGCGGAAAGACAGAAGTCCAGTTCTGGCTGCATCAAGACATCAAAACACGATATGTGGTAATGGCATGGAATCAGCATGGCTTCAATGTTCTCGAGTGGACGGTCATGAGTCTGCGAAGTGATTACGAGCTCCTGTTGTCTTACGCTTTCGAGGAAAGAGAAGTGGACGTTCCCAAAGCAAGGGAATTTGGGAACCAATGGAGCGAACGACACGCGCAAGACTGCTCTCCCCACGAATTGAGAGAGGTGCAAGGTGGATGAGCAGTCATCGTTTTCTTCGACTGCTGGAAGTCTCAGCACACTCCCTGGCAAAGTCAAGATGGCCCTTGCGTTGGAGTTCGTGGCGAGGTGCAACTTGAGGTCAAGCACGGCTGCAGACTCATGAGATTCGACCATCTGCTTTCCTCGGTGAGTGATAAGGGATGAAAGGAAGAGGGGATGAGAAGAAGATTGGAGGGACAGCAAGAGTCAAGTGTTTTGTAAAAGGTCCAACCAATACATGACATTAAAGAGTGGAAGCTTTGGGGCTGAAGAAACGAAATGTGACAGAGCCTGTTCATCCTGGCTATTGAGCAACCCAACGCTGAACCCATCACTGCGCACCTTGACATACTCCACTACCAGGGGGAACGACCCGAACGAAAAGTCTTCAATTTGAAGCAAGTTGTCCGGAAATCGTTTATGCCTGCAAATGGCCTGGTGGGGAGAGACAAGATCGCATCATCTTTTGCCTGTGACTCTGCGAAAACTCTAAAGTAAGTGTGCAGTGAATGCGCTTGCATGTAGCTGAGACGAGCCTAGAGTTAAGTTCCCTACTCTCATGTCAGGGCAACAGGAGCTGGGCTAGGATCTGGACGCAGGACTCACCGGCCACAGCTTTTCCACAAAGATTTTGCTGAGTGCGGGATTCAGCACATGCCAGAATCGCGCAATCACATGGTTCAGCCAGCGATCCGGCTCCAAGCCAGGGTCTTTCACCCAGCCTGGCAGAGAGCCTCGGAGCCGATCCAAGTGATCCTCGTCTGTCACTGCTAGCACCCGCCGGACCTGCATCAAGAGCGAGTTCTTAGACACGTGGTAAGCATTGCATTACCCCCTGATGCAAGAAGAATTCAACATTCACGTAGCGTCTGACTGTGCATGTCTTGCCCTGCATTTCATATCATTTCCAATGCCTTACTTGGGGAGTGCTGACTTCAAACGATCGTCGCTTGTCCAGAAGCCTACATCCGGTCACGAGAGAAACGGCCAGTCCAATGGAGAAGCCAAGAGCATCGACCAGCAGACCCAGAGAAAAGCTTCGCAGCGACGGCCAGAGCAGCTCCGCCACCTTGCGGCCAAGCAGAGAGCCCAGGGACTTCAGCCAGGAAACTCTCTTTCTTTTAGTTTCGGTCCTCGACTGTGGTTCCCGCAGTTGGCCTTCCTCTAGCTGGTGAGGGTGGTTATGCTGCTGCGGGGCCATGTGGAGACGGGAAGGAATATGAACGGTGGGTTTGTTCAAAGCCATGGATACCACACTCGGCGGCATACTAGCTACGGACATGGCCTTGGGACCTGTAGCGGTTTCTGCGGGCTGAGCCGCGACAGCCTCTCCGACTGGTCCTGCGGCAAACCCTGCAGCGGGCTTTGCGGCGGGACCTGGACTGAGCTCTGCTGGCTCTGCCATGGCCGTCGCGGTTGTGTGGGGAGGGTGAACGTTGGCGGCGGCGAAAACATGGGGATTGGATTGTTGGAAGTGACATCTCTTCAGTGGAGTGGAGGGATTGCAAGCAGTCAAGACAACTGAGCAGGACAACGTAATCCTTGCCAACAGGGGCGATGTGCTGGTGGAAGTGGCGGGGGGGACGGGGAGGATTGAGTGATGATTGGAGCATATTTGTTCACTTTTGTGAGTGCAGTACAGTTCATGTGTACGATTTGTTTTCTTACCGCACGTGCTAACATCGAGACACCCTTTCACATTCTCATGAGGATGAATGGTGGATTCAGTCCGCACAATATTACAGTGAAGTGAAGGCGCGCCAGCAGCCACTTGCCCCCAACGTGTGCGCTCATTCATGAGAAGCTTTAGCACCGAGTCACCGCCTTAGTCCGTCTCACTATGGATCTGTTAACAGGAGCGCCGATGACGCGGGGCGGGTCAGGGTACCAGCGCAGCAGCATGGAGCGGTCGATGCTGGGGGAGAGCCTCCGCGAGCGCATGTGCCCCGCCCTTATGGTGCTCTCGACCGCCGCCGCTGAGGCTGCCTGCCAACGCGCTGAGCTTCGTCGACCTGCTCCGCCCGCACTGCGAGTTCTCCAACCTCAACGGTGAGATTCCAATCTCGCTGTTATTCGGTGCACGCTAACGTGCTTTTCCATGTCGACGATGACTGGCATCCTCCTCCCTTCGACTGTATCCTGACTGCGCCGACGTTGTTAAGATCCCACGCCTCATCAGCCCTCATCCACGTCTCACTCCCTCGTCCCCTTTCCTGTCGCGCTCCCGCTTCCTCCCCTCGCGCCACCTCTCCTGCAGTGCCCGTGCGCACGGCGGGCGAGCATTCGTACCGCCTGCACGACTTTCGCGTGCGAGTATTCTATGCTAGCGAAATCCAGCAACCGTCCCAAGAGGTACCCGGGGGGATGGGAATGCACATTCGTAGCCTTATTTTTGTCTAGTCGTTATATGCTGATTTCTCTGTGCGCTATGGTGGTCCGGGAGCAGGCAGCAGAAGATTTCTGTGTGCGCTTTGTGACAAACGCGAGTGAGGCGGCAGACGCAGAGCTGATGGGGGCAGACCCGAGCGACCTCAACTCTATCATTGGCAGTGAGTTGACGTGAGGGGGGGCGTGACCTTTTGAGCCGTACCCAAGAGCATGACGGGAAGAAGGGAGTTATGAATGGGGGATTGTGAGTTATGAGGGGGAATTATGAGCAGCAGCAAGCACTGAGCTTACCTAATCTCATTTACGAAGATGAGAGCGCACATGCAAAGTGGACTGAGCTACGTATACGATGCATTCCTCTGCACCGCATCTGGATGTCTCTCGCCTCTCCTCTCTACTCCACCCTCTCACCCCCCCGGAACCCCCACCCTCGTCCCCCAAATTCATTCAGTCCAGTAGAACCTTCGTGCAGAGTCTGGGCAAGAGCATGTGCTATGATGTTTTATCCCTCCCTTACTGCACTCTTCCCATTTGGCCCTTTTCCCCCATTCACCCTGAATCCTCGTTTCCTTTCCCCACCCTTTTCGTCTATGTGGCTACAGTGGCCAATGCGGAGAACCGGACTTGTTGGTTTCAGCGTTTTACCGACGAGTTCATGCGCACGCTCGTCTTTTCTGACCACGAGACCTTTGATCATCCCATTGCATGTAAGCTCCCTCCTCAATGTCCACTTTTATGAAGGCACATCTCCCTTTGCTCGCCCTTTTATCTTTCTGCGTCCTTGTCTCTGTTTACCGAACTTCTTTGCTTGGACGACAACTACAAATCCATCTGCGTTCAACTCACTGTCCTGCAATGTTCCGCTTCTACATCCACCGACGCCCACCCACCACCCCAGGTCTGCTGGTCGCATCCACGTCAGAGCCCTTCCCTGTGCGCGCATTGCGTGAGCTCATGACTCCCGAGCGCCTGCCCGCGCTCTACCGCGACGGCACCATGGACCCCAAGCTGCACCTGCACTACCTCCTCCTGCACGACTGCTCCTCCCTCGGCCCTCCCTCCGCCTCCTCTCAAGTCGAGCTCACTATAGCTGAGATGCGTGCTGCTTTTGGGAGTCCTGTCTGCCGCTTGTTGCCTATCAACTCTGCCGCTGCTCCCAGCCAGTCTCGGCCTGACATCTGGACCAAGCACCGCCCTGTCCCCGTTGGAGGGGTCGCGCCGCCTCCTCCTGCCGGCACTGCGGTAAGGAGGACTCGTGGTATCGGCTTTGGGCTAACCACAACGCCCTGCTCTTCTTCCCCCACTCTCCCCCAACCTCTCATCTCCCCTTCACGAAACCCCTTCGCTCTCCCTCCCTCCTCCTCTCCTCCTTCACCCTCCTTTTTCTCCCCTACGTCCTGCAGTTGCCGCAGAGCCCCTCAGGTCCGCCGGTGTCGGGGGCGGCGGGGCAGTATATGAGTGAGGCGGATGTGAGGGAGGTGGCGGACATGATGATGGAGCTCAGCGTCAAGCACCTCGTACCACACCTCGAGCGAAAGGCGCGAGACCTCAACCAGCAGGTTGGTGGAGGAACTTAATGATCCGGCAAGTGGGACCAGCAGGCAGTTTGTGGTGTTTTCCTCGCCTCCCGTCTACATCATCTTCAGTCTCTGTTTTTGTCTGGGCCTTCAATACATGTGAACGCGAGCAAGTCTGTGTAAATGTGTGGATATGTGCACGTGTATGTATGCGGGTGTTTGTTTGTGTTTGCATCCACGAATATGAATGCCCCAGATCTCAGCCAGTCGTCGTGGCCTACGCAACCAGATCAAGAACTTGTGGTTTGGCAAGGGGAAGGAAGAGTCGGCAGACGCCACACCTGGCGTGTAAGCACCTCTCGTCTCCCGTCCCTTCCTTGCCATGTACCTTTCGTCCCTCTGACACGAACCCCACTTAATCCCCCTCCCTTATCGCACTTTGTTTTCTCTGTGGTATTTCGTTTCCTCGCTCTGATTCCTTCCCAGCCATCCTCCTCCTGCCCCTTCTTGGCCAGTACCAAACTCATCCATCTCTCTCCTTCTCACACCCCTTCACCATCCTCTCAGCTACACCTACCGCTCCCCTGAGTCTCAGATTCGCCAGCTGGCGGACGCAGCCATGATGTTGCAGGACTTCCAACTGGCACTGGACAACTACCGGCTCGTGGCGGCAGACTACCGCAGAGACAAGGCGTGGAAGCACTATGCTGGGGCACAGGTCAGTCTATTGCGGAACACTGATTCTTTAGGAGTTCCAATGATGTGAAGCACTTTGTTTGTGTTCTCTGTACGCACTTTAAGTTGCTTCATCGTGCTCTGCTTTGTTTCTAAGCTTCATCACCCCCGTTTTGACTTCCTGTTTTTGCACCTGACTGCAATTCTTTTGTGCATGTGTAGTTTGCTTTCAACATTTGTGCCACGTCATCGATGTCTGTGCGCATGATTGTGCATGCACGCGTCCATGTATGTGTGTGCGATTGGCTCTGCAATTGTGCGGGTGTGTGCAACTGGGTGTGCGGTTGCGTGTTAGCATGTTTGTGTAAATGATGGGGGATTGGGTTGAGTGAATCTTGATGTGTTTTCCAGGAAATGGTGGCCGTATCACTTTTTCTCTTGGAGATTTCTCGAAGGGAGATGGAGCAGTGCATGGAGAGCGCTTACGCCTCATACCAGGTAGTTCACTAAGGTCATTCAGGCACATTTGTCTTGTCACCCCCATCATCTGGTTCTCTCCCCCTTCCTCCCCCTCTCCACGCCTGTCATCATCTCTTTTACACTTCGTTGCCTCTTTTTCTGTTTCTTCTTCATCATCATCTATTTAATGCAGGTTCCAGCCAGCTGATTGCACAGTACTATCAGTTCGTCCGCCTCGGCTTTGAGGTGAGTTCTGCTTTTGCCATGATTAGGGCCATCAGTGTTGGGGCTGTTCCTGTTTATTCTGTCACATGGTCCTACCCCCGTCCCTCTCTCCCCATCGGCTTCCTGTGATCCTATCCACAACCTGAACAACCTCTGCCCTATCCCTTTGATCCCATCTTTTCCCGCACGTCAAACCATACTCGCTACAGGGTTACAGCAAGATCATAGGCAACTGTCAGTCTAACGCCATGTATCTGAAGAACGCCATATTGGACATGGGGTGCTTTGATATCCTCTCTAAGGACGTCGGCGTGCCCCTCGTCACCTTCGCACTCAAGGAGAAGGATGGCCCCTTTAACGAGTATGACATTGCTGACGTTCTCAAGCAGTTTGGCTGGATCATCCCTGCTTACACCATGGCACCTGATCTCGAGCACGTCACCATGCTCCGCGCTCTCGTCCGAGAGGACTTCTCTCGCTCGCTCGCCGATCGCTTCCTGAATGACGTGCGCATGACACTCAAAATTCTTGAGGACAGAGGCGCCACCGTTCCTCGCACAGTCACTCCTGCAGCTGCCACTGCTGCTGCTCCCGCTGTTTCCTCCATTCCTGAGGAGGAGGCGCCTGTGACGGCAGAGGTTCCGAAGCCCAAGTCCAGGATGGCTCGTGACCTGGCAGCGGACGAGGCGTATGTGCTGTCGCCACTGGCAGGCACGCGGCTGATGCCGCCCAATAAGCTGGAGTACAGCCACTCGATGGACTCGTCTGCTCTGCGCCAGCGCACCTTCAGGGTGTTCAAGAAGAATAGCATTGCCAAGACCAACGGGGTGTGCTAGAAGCACTGCTGCTGGAGGGGAAACACGCAGAGCATACTGCTGTGGCTGCTGTGCTGCTGGTGTGTTGCACATCACATTGCATGGAATTGTAGTATGGTATCTATGGAATCAAATATTGCATATGTATGTTACACTAGGCACTTCCTCACAATATCCAGCATCATAATGTGTCCTCTATTGTGCATTTTCATGAGAAAAAAATATGATGCGAAGCTGAAGGATTGCTTTGGGAACATAAAATGTACCACTACCGTACGTCATATTTGCTTCCATATACCATTTTGTTTCCTCTGCCTTGGACGGTTGAATTCTGGACAGTATGATCAATCAGACTTACGAGGTTTTCCCTTCATCTGAAATTCAGACCTGGATTTGCTTCAGGCCAGAACGAAATAGGTTTATTATCAAACTTCAATGTGTATGGTAACTGTACCATCGAGCGAGGTGGGCTCAGGGATCTCTCTTGTGTGATTCCGTGTTTCCGCTTCCCAGACCTGCGCGCCTGCGAATCAGAGTTCCATTCCCAGCACTATGCGCAGCCATATGCCATGTCAGCCTCTCTGTACACATTTTTCTCAAGCATTGTCTGATTGTTTCCGAGGAGTTAGGCTTTTATTTGTTCAGTGTTTGGTGATGAAATGGGCTTCTGAACTATACCACAACTGCCAGCGCTGCGTTATGTTTCTGCACTTCTTTTATGACACTGTAGCTTGGTCGAATAAATGTCCTGCTTGCGGGCCTAAAATGTGTGGGTCGTTGCTTGTGAAACCCAATCGGTCCGACAGCCAGGTGTATGGAAGCCGCTGCTGGTTGGGCAGTTTGCCAGCCATTAAAGTGTAGCGAACGGAGTGTCAGCTCAGCTCTGCCGAGCCTGTGATAAATATCGATCAAGGCACCACCAGAGCTAAATTCCAGAGAGGTATTTTCAGGAAATGTTCCAAACCAAGGGCCTAGAGGATTGCGGAACCAGTCAGCAATGTTGAGCCAACATTTTGCTCCTAGACACACTTCCACATTCCGATCCCAGTTTGATCCAGCCTGAGTGAGAAGGATTGAAACTAAGCCATTTTCTTGATTCTATAAGTTGCTCAATTCGAGCAAAGAGCTTGTATTTCAGGCAACGCCTTCACTTCACTCGTTGTGTGTAGCGAGTGCTTTCCTCTTCACATTGACCACCGCATCCGCTTCGTTTAGGAGCTGCCACTCTGACCCTGGTGCCTGCAAGAAGCGTGTCGTGGTCGCTTGCAGCCATGCTTCATACCACTGCCGGTTCTGCTGGTGCTGTTGATGACGACCATGTCGTCGAGTGCGTCTTCGGCTCACGTTACACTTCTGCGAGCGTTCCCAAGTAAATTTCTCCCCTACTTGCACGTATGGACGCCAGCGAAATGTCATTCTCCCAGTTGCACATTCCCGAAAGCGGGGTACCCAATGCTTTTACAAACTGTCGTTTTTGGATGTCCGGTTCTTACTAACCCGCATTTTGCAATATCCTCTTCTGCAGGTACCAGATTCCCAAGGAAGGTATTCCCAAGGAGGCGGCGTATCAGATGATTCACGACGAGCTGCTGCTGGACTGCAACCCGCGGCTCAACCTGGCGTCGTTCGTAACGACATGGATGGAGCCTGAATGCGACCAACTCATTATGGAGTCGCTCAATAAGAACTACATTAACATTGAAGAGTATCCGGTCACCAACGAACTCCAGGTTCGCATTTCAGTCCAATGTCTGAAAATGTGCTTCTTTTTTGTCATGGAATGTTCGCTCAACGTTGTTTGCGTTCTTGTCTTCTGGTGCTCTCAAATGCAGGAGCGCTGCGTGAACATCATCGCGAATCTGTTCAACGCACCTCTGGGAGACGGGGAGGGAGCCATCGGCGCGGGATGCGTTGGGTCGTCGGAGGCGATCATGCTGGCGGGACTCGCGTTCAAGCGCAAGTGGCAGGAGAAGCGAAAGGCGGAGGGGAAGCCGTACGATAAGCCCAACTTCGTCTGCGGCTCTGAAGTCCAGGTAGGCTACATCCTTGAAAAGTTGCTGAATACATATTTTATTTTTCTGTCATCTCAATATACCCATCAACACTTTTCCATTTAACGCTTGCATCTAACCGTGATCAGGTGTGCTGGGAGAAGTTTTCAAACTACTTCGAGGTGGAGACCAAGTTCGTGAATGTGAAGGAAGGGTCGTTCGTGATGGACCCGCATGATGCTGTGGAGGCCGTTGACGAGAACACCATCTGCATCTGTGGCATTCTCGGGTCTACCTATAACGGAGAGTTCGAGGACATCAAGCTTCTGAACGATCTTCTCGTGGAGAAGAATGCCAAGACCGGGTATGCAGCATGATCAAAATGTTTTTGGATGCTCGTTCCAGGCGAACGGACGTTCGTATTCCACGTGCATCCATGTCCATTCTCCCCTACTTGAAGCCGCTTCTTCTCGTCTTCCCCACACTCCCGCATCCCCCTGTTCCCCTTCGCATTGCAGCTGGGACACGCCTATCCACGTGGACGCGGCGAGCGGCGGGTTCGTGGCGCCGTTCCTGTACCCCGACCTGGAGTGGGACTTCCGGCTGCCCACGGTTCGGTCCATCAACGTGAGCGGGCACAAGTTCGGGCTCGTGTACCCCGGCGTGGGGTGGGTGGTGTGGCGCAGCAAGGCCGACCTCCCTGAGGACCTTATCTTCCACGTCAACTACCCTGGGCGCGGACCAACCCACCTTCACGCTCAACTTCTCCAAAGGTGCGCTGTGATACTGTCATAGTGGATTCAAATAGCCTGGTCAGTGGGGATGCTGTGGTTCTGGGTGGGTGGATTGATGTGGTCGGTCGGTGTACCAGACACTCGTGAGCAACAGATTTGGGCTTGGGACCGGCTGTCTTTTTCTACTAGTCTACTTGCTGCGAGCTACAGCTCGGAGCCACCCTGCTTCTCGCATCTCCCACCATCTTGCATGGCTTTCAAACAAGCCTTGCGTACCCAATATTACACGTGAAACGAACGCACATTCATTATTTGTCACCCTCCTTCCCTTTTCTGCCCACCACCCCGTTTTTTTAATGCAGGTTCCAGCCAGCTGATTGCACAGTACTATCAGTTCGTCCGCCTCGGCTTTGAGGTGAGTTCTGCTTTTGCCATGATTAGGGCCATCAGTGTTGGGGCTGTTCCTGTTTATTCTGTCACATGGTCCTACCCCCGTCCCTCTCTCCCCATCGGCTTCCTGTGATCCTATCCACAACCTGAACAACCTCTGCCCTATCCCTTTGATCCCATCTTTTCCCGCACGTCAAACCATACTCGCTACAGGGTTACAGCAAGATCATAGGCAACTGTCAGTCTAACGCCATGTATCTGAAGAACGCCATATTGGACATGGGGTGCTTTGATATCCTCTCTAAGGACGTCGGCGTGCCCCTCGTCACCTTCGCACTCAAGGAGAAGGATGGCCCCTTTAACGAGTATGACATTGCTGACGTTCTCAAGCAGTTTGGCTGGATCATCCCTGCTTACACCATGGCACCTGATCTCGAGCACGTCACCATGCTCCGCGCTCTCGTCCGAGAGGACTTCTCTCGCTCGCTCGCCGATCGCTTCCTGAATGACGTGCGCATGACACTCAAAATTCTTGAGGACAGAGGCGCCACCGTTCCTCGCACAGTCACTCCTGCAGCTGCCACTGCTGCTGCTCCCGCTGTTTCCTCCATTCCTGAGGAGGAGGCGCCTGTGACGGCAGAGGTTCCGAAGCCCAAGTCCAGGATGGCTCGTGACCTGGCAGCGGACGAGGCGTATGTGCTGTCGCCACTGGCAGGCACGCGGCTGATGCCGCCCAATAAGCTGGAGTACAGCCACTCGATGGACTCGTCTGCTCTGCGCCAGCGCACCTTCAGGGTGTTCAAGAAGAATAGCATTGCCAAGACCAACGGGGTGTGCTAGAAGCACTGCTGCTGGAGGGGAAACACGCAGAGCATACTGCTGTGGCTGCTGTGCTGCTGGTGTGTTGCACATCACATTGCATGGAATTGTAGTATGGTATCTATGGAATCAAATATTGCATATGTATGTTACACTAGGCACTTCCTCACAATATCCAGCATCATAATGTGTCCTCTATTGTGCATTTTCATGAGAAAAAAATATGATGCGAAGCTGAAGGATTGCTTTGGGAACATAAAATGTACCACTACCGTACGTCATATTTGCTTCCATATACCATTTTGTTTCCTCTGCCTTGGACGGTTGAATTCTGGACAGTATGATCAATCAGACTTACGAGGTTTTCCCTTCTGAAATTCAGACCTGGATTTGCTTCAGGCCAGAACGAAATAGGTTTATTATCAAACTTCAATGTGTATGGTAACTGTACCATCGAGCGAGGTGGGCTCAGGGATCTCTCTTGTGTGATTCCGTGTTTCCGCTTCCCAGACCTGCGCGCCTGCGAATCAGAGTTCCATTCCCAGCACTATGCGCAGCCATATGCCATGTCAGCCTCTCTGTACACATTTTTCTCAAGCATTGTCTGATTGTTTCCGAGGAGTTAGGCTTTTATTTGTTCAGTGTTTGGTGATGAAATGGGCTTCTGAACTATACCACAACTGCCAGCGCTGCGTTATGTTTCTGCACTTCTTTTATGACACTGTAGCTTGGTCGAATAAATGTCCTGCTTGCGGGCCTAAAATGTGTGGGTCGTTGCTTGTGAAACCCAATCGGTCCGACAGCCAGGTGTATGGAAGCCGCTGCTGGTTGGGCAGTTTGCCAGCCATTAAAGTGTAGCGAACGGAGTGTCAGCTCAGCTCTGCCGAGCCTGTGATAAATATCGATCAAGGCACCACCAGAGCTAAATTCCAGAGAGGTATTTTCAGGAAATGTTCCAAACCAAGGGCCTAGAGGATTGCGGAACCAGTCAGCAATGTTGAGCCAACATTTTGCTCCTAGACACACTTCCACATTCCGATCCCAGTTTGATCCAGCCTGAGTGAGAAGGATTGAAACTAAGCCATTT